ACAGTGCCAACATCATTTATAATGTTCCTGTCAGTCAACTACTGCATGGCATAGAGCATGCAATGACCACAAGATATATGTAGATTCTCAGATGGGGTCTAGTGACTAGAACACTGGACTAGGAGGCAGGAAGCCTATATTCTATTCCCAGCTCTGCCTCTGACCTGCTGTGTGGCCTTCGGCAATTCACTTCCCTTCTCTGTGCCTCTTTTTCCCCTTCTACCCTTTGTCTTATCTATTTTGACTGTATGCTCTCTGGGGCAGGGATTGTCTTGCTACGTGTATTGATAGTTCCTACCACAATGGAGCTCTGTCTTCTCTTGGAGCTTCTGGGTGCTGCTATTATGCACATAATAATTGCCACCAAACTACTGGGACATATTTTAAGAGTCTGAATAACATCAGCGCACCTCTCCGTTGTTTGTTCTCAGTCTGTGGTGCTACCTTTCACAACTTTAGCACGTGTCTGAAATATTTGATGTTTTTCTTAAGGACCCAGCTCCTGGAGTCCTGTTATTAGCTGGAAATCTCCGCTTTCATGGTTTTTTAAGTAAAAAATATGAGACTGAAAATATGATCTGAGTGCACCCTAAATGGTCAGGAACCAGAAGACAAATAAAATGAACCCCAAATCTCATGATTTTTAAGTCTCTCGTGATTTTTGAATATGATGAGTCGTCCAGGGTGCAGCAGACAGAATTAGAATTTAGGGGCTGGTTCAAAGTCCACTGAAGTCAATGAAGGCTACATTGATTTCAAGGGCTTTAGATCAGGCCCTCATTCTGCAGCTAGATGGTCATGAGACGGTCAATGTTTTGCTTCTTAAATAACACCTCCCCATATTTCATAGTCTGACAACGTTCATTCTGGACCGAGTATCCCTTGTAGTTAATGCTGATCGCAATATGGTGTCACACCATTATAGAGTCTGGAAAGAGAAAGTGGGTGTGTGGGTGGTCCAGCTCTGCCATCCAGAGGAATTAAGCTGCTACTGCAGCCTCTCACCTGACCAGTTCACACAAAATAAACATTTAGCAATGATTGTATAGACAGGAGCAAATTATGCATTATATAAAACATGCTCAGCATCACGGGGGGTTAGTCCTGCCGAAAGCAGAATGATCAAGAAAGAATAAACATCATGGTTAGCGGCTATATCCCTCAATTCCCAGTTAAAACCTGCAGTGGCAGATTCAAATTAATGTGATAGATGAGGGTATAACTGAGTGTGAGGGGTTGATATTAAGAAAAAGAAAATGTGGTCCAAGCATCATGAAAAGCCTGACAAAGTGGTGTATGAGGCTGTAGAATAATCTCCCCTGGGAAGTAGTGGAAACCCTTTTGCTTAGGACTTCTAAAACAGGAAACATACTGTAGGAAGCAATGGTATTGGCAGAGAGAGACTGGATGCTGTAATAATATTCTAATTTAATTTCTATGTCCACATCCATAATATCTTCCTTATATTTTTGGCTGCCTTTCCCTCAGTGTAGGATCTATTAATTTGATCTTCTTCACATCATTCATTTTTAATCTTGAAATGTCCTTGCATGTGTCATCTTTCATAATCCCAAAGTGTAATGAGCCAGATCCCCAGCTGGTGTAAAGGAGCTCAGGATCTGGCCCAATAACATCAAAGTAAAACTATTTCCACATGCTTATTCCCTCCCCCCCGCCGCAGTTCCTCATATCTTCTTGTCAATTGCTGGAAATGGGCCATTTTCATTACCACTACAAATAGTTCTTTTTCTCTTCTACTGATAATAGCTCACCTTAACTGATCACTCTCGTTATAGTGTGTATGGTAACACCCATTGTTTCATGTTCTCTGTGTATATATATATCTTCCTACTGTATTTTCCACTGCATCCATCCGATGAAGTGGGCTGTAGCCCACGAAAGCTTATGTTCAAATAAATTTGTTAGTCTCTAAGGTGCCACAAGTACTCCTGTTCTTTTTGCGGATACAGACTAACACGGCTGCTACTCTGAAACTTATTGTATGATTCAATATCTCTATTTTTATTTTGCTTTATATTTTCTTTATATTTCTCTGGTCAAGTTTTGTCTAAAAACCAAGAATTATTTTGCTTGTGCTCATTTTTCCCTGCCCAGCATTTCTATGTGCTTTTGTATGCTTCCCCCTGGTTATGTTCCATTTCTCTTGACTGTGTCATGGAAGTTGCATGATGGAAATTTTTCTCCATCCTTTGTATGGCTCTCTTCCAGCATATGTTACATTTTGTCAGTATTGTCTATCATTTTTCTCTCTTGTTTTTCTGGAGTTCTTGTTTTATTATTTTATATGCCGCATTTTGTAACAATTATTTTAGCTATTTCGGGTTATGTGCTCTTCCATTTTGTATGCTGTTCTGTTTTCTTTGTGTGTCTATTCATAATCCGATAGTTCAGAACAGCCTTTCTTTACCTTACACTGGTTAGTCCCTTACTACATTATATTATTTGTATTACAGTCGTGCCTATAGGCACCTACTGAGATGAGCACTCCATTGTTCTATGCACTGTACAAACCCAGTGTGAGAGAGAATCTATGGCCCAGAGCACTTGCATTCTAAATAGACAAGACAGATGAAGAATGGGAGGGGAAACAAAGGCACAAAGAAGTAATCTGACCAAGGATGTGCATTAGTTCAGTGGCAGGGCTTGGAATGGAACCAAGGGCCCTGAGTCTCCATTGCGCTACGCCTTGTATTGTCATTTATATCAGTGCAAAGTGAAGGAGCGTTTTACACCCACCTCACTTTGCACTGGTGTAAATGACCACACAAGGTGCATGGCAATGGAGAAGCGGGCCCTGCAGTCCCTGGCTCCCAGTTTGGTACCCTATCCACCACACTATGCTTCGGCCTTCATATGGAATATGCTTCAATGCATCTTCTCCCCAGTGCTAAACATTTATCTCCCTTATGTAGGTTGAATTCACTATAAAATAATATTTGGCATTTCTATAACACTTTTCACTTAGGGACGTCAAAACACTTTACAAACATTAGAGTTCACCCTTTTAATCCCTTCTGAATGAAGTGTCCTACTCCACTGGTGCCGCAGCACAGACACACACAACCCTTGGCATGCTACGCACCCCAGCAATTCACACACACTAGCCAGTGAAGACCACCAGTAAACAACCCCCAGACATCACAGCCCATCCCTGCCTGGACTACAGCTAATGCCCAACACACCCACCTCCCCAGAACTCCACCCCACCAGGCACCATAATCTGCCACCTAGTACCCCACCAATCCAGAGGCCTGGCTCCATCCCCACTATCAACATCACTGCCAAGCCGCTATGGAGCCTTGTAAGGAGGGACATGCTGCATCTGCTGCTGGGGAGCTCCTAAGGCCTGGCTCCACCTCTGGAAATGATAGACTACAGGGGGTATCTGTGTGCTATACTGGCTGCCATTGGGATTTTGCTGTTGTTGGGGGTTACTTACTACCTCATCCCTGTCTTCCTGGACCACTGAAATACTGCTGTCGTAATCACTTCCCTGACCAGGCTCCTGGTAGTGGGAGGGATTTTAAAAACACTTTCTCCTCAGGGAAAGCCACGATCTATCAACTTACATGCCCCCCATCACTGAAGTGTCCAGCAGTCACTAAGGGAGTTTTGCCATCACCACACCCCTGAGGCAGGGCAGTGTTATATCCCCATGTTACAGATGGGGAACTGAGGCACAGACAGACTATGCAACTTTCCTAAAATCACACAAGAATTGAATGTGGGTCTCCACGTTTATCACAAGACCAGCATCCTTCCTCCCTAGGTAGTTGGGGCTCCCCTCCCATTGGGACACTGAGGAATGGCTTCTCTGAGACTGTATTGGAGGGCTGTTCCTCATGTATTTAATATGATTTTATTCCCTTTTCTGTATTGAGGCCTCTATTTTCTTGTGGTTGGTTGCAAGAGCCCATGTTTTATATCTATATTATGTGGGCAATATTGGTTAGAAACCCAGGTAAGGTCAATCCTCAGAAGAGAGACCCTATTCAGTCCCCAAGAGAAACTAGATCATTATAGGTGAGACAAGCCATTGACTTTAAGAGAACATGCCTCAGTGTCTTGAGAATGTAAGATGGAGCAACGAAGTCCCTGGTCTTGTACTTGCAGTATATTATTCAGCCACTAGACGTTGCTGTGTGCTGTATGGAATACGAGATAGGATGTGGTTCCTGGAGACCAAGCTGGGACTGGAGCTGCGTGGAAGGTTGTTTGTCTGTACGTGGTAGCCCCTTTCTTTAGTAAACACCTCCGCTGTGAGGAGGGCTAGGATTCCATAGAGTGCGATGGTGATATAGCAGTGTTCTGCAGAGGGTCATACAGCTGGGAGGGGGTTACACGAGAATTCCTGTCGGAGGGGCTCTCTGCTGACCTCATGGGTATGGCTACAGTGCAATTAAAAACCTGGGCCTGGCCTCTGCCAGCTAACGGCGGCTCAGGGGGCTTGGGCTGCGGGGCTGCTTGACTGCACTGCGGGCTCTGGGCTCCCGCGAGGGGAGAGGTCCCGGCCACTAAACAGCCCCGCAGCCAGGCCCTGGGGGGCTGCTGGTCGCAGGTGCTCTGTGCCCCGCCATGCCTGATGCACCGGGGCTGTGAGCGCTGGGACAGTCAGAGCTGGTGGCCCCGGCTGCGCCTGTACCCCCCCGCGGGCGGTCTGAGGCCCAGGGAACCAGCCCGGCTACAGCCCCAGCCGAGACTCTCTAGCCCCGGCCGCCTCTCCATGGTGTGCGGAGGTGTCCCCGGGCCGGCTGAGGCGTGGGGCGGGCAGCCGAGCCGCTACGAGCTGTCCAGGTCCCGGCTCCGCAGGGACACAGCCGCTCAGTGCCCGGCCGGGGCAGGCTGGAGGCTGGCCCCGCCCCCCGCTCTGTCTGGAGCCAATAGGCCGCGCGGGGGGGAGGGACCGGAAGGGCCGAGTCTCGTGGGCACCGCCGTAGGCCCCTGGAGGAGACTCTCTAGCTAGCCCCGGTCTCCTCTCTATGGTGTGCGGAGCTGTTCCCGGAAGCGTCCCTTCTCTCTGGCGGCGATGGCGGAGGTGGAGGACCCGGAGGCGCGGGACGGGGAGCCGGAGCCGGAGGACGGGGAGCCCCTGGAGCCGGGCGGCTACCTGCTGTACAGGTACCGGTCCCCCGCTCCCTTCCGCCAGAGATCGGAGCAGCCCCGCGGGGAGACCAACGCTCCGTGCCCGGGGGGCAGAGACGGGTCTCCCGCCCGGCCCCGGGGGCTCCCGCCGCAGCGCAGCGTCTCCGACGTGAGGGGGCGGGGAGCGAGGAGGTGTAGGGGAGGGGGGCAGTGAGG